GGATATTCTTCTATTTATCTTCAGATGGAATGGGAGGAAGAGAGAGGGAGCGAAAGGGAGAGAGAGAGAGAAAGAGAACCATCGACGTGAGAGGGAGACATCGACTGGCTGCCTCTTGCATGACCCCGACCAGGCCCGGGAATGAACCGCAACCGAGGTAGGTGCCCTCGGCTGGAATTGAACCTATGACTCATTGGTCTGCGGGCTGACGCTCTAACTGCTGGGCCAAACTGGCCAGGGCAGGACCATCCTTTTCATGTGAACCCTTTTGACCATGACTTCCAGTGACTGGGGGTTCCACTGAGGAGGCTGCTGGGCTGGCTGTGGGCTTCTCCATGGAGGGCCTGTCTCAATAGTGGCCAAGGCTTAGGCCCCTTCCTGATCCTACACTTGGCTTTGTTCCTTGCAGTTGCCCATTCTTGGGTCCGAGTGCCCCTGGCCATTGCAGCCCCTGGCTTCCGGTCTTGTGTTCCTGTGGCCTCTGGGCACCTCGCTGAGGTGCACGGACTCTAGGTGGCAGACTGGAGAGGAATCCCTACCCTTCCCTTTGCCATGGAGCAAACTGTGTGTGTTCTCAACAACTGTGTGTTTGCCTTCGTGGCTCTGATTCTAAAAATAGCTGCAGTGTTTTACCTTTAATGAATTAAGGTCTAAACAGTGCTTTTAACATCCAACTGTTCAATGGGGTGGGAAATACACCTAAAACTTTTGAGGTATTTCTAGTTTGGGAGGCCTGTGGATAGCATTAGTACAAGGCCCATGACAATTTTAATCAATTAACACTTTGTTCAAGAGAGAATTTCAGGCAGATACCTGGTATAAAGATGGAGTACAATACATAGTTCTTACGTCATGGTGTTTACTTTGTAGTCTGTGGGAGAATGCGGGCCCAGGCTGCAGGCCTGTCCTGCGTGGTGCGTGGGTTTGCCCTGAGCGAAGGGAGGCCTGCCCTAGCACAGCACCCGCGCATGCCCAGTTCAGGCGGTGAGTAGCTGCTGGGGGCAGAGGAAGGAGCATGTTTTCTCCTTAGACTGGGGGCATGAGGCTCCATTTATTTTCTCGTCTGTACAATGGGGCCAATGATACCTGCCCTGCCCACCTCAGCGTTGAGTTTGAAAGAAATCAATAAGTATGGAACTCCAAGAAAAAGCGACATTTGAAATACTGGATCCTCAGCTAAGCTGCACTTCCCTCACTGACAGGTGTGACAAAGATGTGGAGGTTCCTCCCACACCCCGCAGCAGAGCTGCTGGCTGAGGGTCCCTTTCTGCGGCACGTTTGCAGTCTTCCTTCCGAAGCTGTCAGACGTCTCGCATTCAGAAAAGGACGAGGGGAGAGCTTGGTGATTTTAGACATCTGAAGCCTTCCATCTGGCCCCAAAGGCTGGCAGCCCTCTCACGGAATGAAACATTTTAAACAGCCCGGATGATCTCATAGGTCTTTTCTACCTCTGACACAGAGGGTGTGACTCACAGACATCTGGCAGAAATGCACCAGGTTGTGATGGTTTGCCTCGCTGTCCTTAGATGAAGAGTGGATTAACTCCCAGTAGCATGCTGAGGATGTCAAGCATGACCTCTGAGTGAAACAGAATGGGGGGTTGCTTCAAGGTTACAACAATGAACTGACTCAAGGCTCTGAGATTCTAATCACAAATCTGCAACCTTGTCCATGACGCTGGGAGGCCTGCTAGAGGCCTTCAAGAGCACCCTTAATTTGTACGTGCTGATCACCCATTTTTGAAGCACTGTAGTACGTCCTTCCTCTGAGAACAGTGGGGGGGACTAACTAATGGCTGATAATACTCAAGGGAGAGCCATCAGGAAAGACCACCCAATGCCCATGATGCCTTAGGAGTATTCAGACTATTACCTAGAGATGCTAGAAAAATGCAAACCTCCCAGTTTGAAGAAAATCAGCCTGTTGCTTTTTCCTGCCAAGTCAGCCATCTACCCTGTCCAGCATGCCCAACAGACTTTCCGTGATGACGGGCATCTTTTCTATTTACTCTGTCCAGAGGCAGCTACTACCTGTGGCTGTTGAGCACTTGAAATAGGAACTAAATCTTACACCTGATTTAATTTTAATGCATGGAAATGTGTGTGTGAACAGTCGTGTGTGGTTAGTAGCCACCGTCCTGGACAGCACAACTCCAGCCCATTCACACCCCTCCAAGCAACTGCATGCGGGTGGGGGTGGGGGTAGAACATGAATTAACTAATTAGTCGGTCTTCATGTTCACAACTATCTTTTCTCTCTTGTTTCTTCAAGTTAGAAAAAGTGGCTAAAATCAGGGTCTGCAGCGAGAGATGACCAAAAACTGAGGACGGTTTTCCCCATCCTCTGGACTATTTCCCTCCATTGTCAGGTATTAAACTGAGCCGGCACCTGAACTCATTAATGAAAAGTGAAACCATATTTCTTATTCTATAGGACAACGTTTCTCTATAAAGCTGAGAAATAATCAGTGAGATCAGGTCGGAAACACCAGCCTCCCTCTGTACCATCCCCGACCCTCAGAGGACACCTGCAGGAAGGAGACAGGACATGTTTCTGTCCACTCCCCTCCCCCAGCCCTCACCTCTGCAGCCCTGTCTCCACTCCCCTCCCCAAACTAGACAGGCCAGCTGATAACCAACGACACAAAACCATAGGCTACGTGCTGCCCCTTGTTCCCTCCAGACACTAAGTGTCCTTCCTTTCTTGCTCCTTTCATATCAATTCTGTGGCAGGAAACTCCGCAGTACACTATACGCAAAGCCCTGAGATCTTAACCTTCCAGCCTTCCCGAAACATTCCCACTGCCCCAGGGGGGTTGAACAAACAGGCCGTTCTCCCTAATCTAAGTCCTCATCCTTGAGGCGAATTGACTCAAACTCTGCAGGGTATAAAGAATTTATTCTTCCTGCACTTAGCTTATTACTAGCCTGTCTTTTGTTATTATTATTATTTTTTCTTTTTCTGAACAGTGCATTTCTCAGGTATTCTAAGCTCTAATAAGGGAACAGGGTTTCGGTCCCTGCGATTCTCCGTATGCACTGTCCAGCACAGCGTCAGAGGTAATGAGGGACTTAATCAATGCTTCCTGATAACGCATAGAAGAGTGTTAGACTCAATGGGATTTTTACAGCTTTGGGATTTTAAGGTACATCTTTCAGTATCTTTGCCCTCCTACTATTTGTGGAGGGGCGTGGATTGGGCTTGGTTCTTTCAGGGGAGGACTTCAGAATGGTTCATGTAGTTTTCAGGTTGATGTCACGATGATCTGAAGGCTAATAATCTGCCAGCAGCTGCATGATTCGCATGGGAGGACGAAAGAAAGCATAATAAGTACATGGTTGCTGTTTTCTCAACAGCGAAATGGAAAGGGAATAAAAATCTCTGTTCATGAAATAGTCGTAATGCCCTGCTAAAGACCATTAAAATATGACTATCAGGCCTGTGTGAGGACCTCTGCCATTTATTAAAGTTGGGAACGAGGTGACATAATAGCTTATTACAGCCCACTTCCTCATCTCCTCTGGCCCTGACCTACCTCCTTGCATGCATCTTTTCTAAGGTGATCGTTTTGAAATAGAAAACCACTCACTCTGCTCCCAACTTCTTCCTTAACTGAAAGATTCAAGGGTAACTAGAAATTTAATGAAAATTTAATGTTAAACTAACAATAAACATGCTTCCCCTTTTCTTTTCCAAGTTAAAAAGTCCACAACACACAATAAAGCAAAGTGGGGTGCTTGGATCAGCTGCAGTAGCATCACCTGGGAACTAGAAATGTAAATTCTTGGGCGGCACCTCAGACGTACTGGAGCAGAAATAGGGGTGGGGGTGGGGCCCAGCAACTGTGTTAAAAAACCTCTAGGGTATTCTGCACTAACACTGGAGAGCACTTGCTTTAAACCAGTGTTGAAATCATCAAAACTATTCTTTTTAATGTTGCAATAAAGTGTACGAAATGAGTATCCCTGAAATGTCAAGTCTTTCCCAATTCTAGAAATAAGGTCTGACTAAGCACTAAACAAGTCCAGCCGGGAGTCCCTCCTTCTGAGCGCTAACACATCTGCATGAGGTGCTACCTGGGATCCGGTCAACCTCCCAGGAGGCTGGGCCGGCTGAGCTGAGCCACTAGGAGCTCATCTGCCTCGCGGTGGGGGCTGGAGGGCTTCACAGAGGGGAGGGCTGGAGAGAGGAGCAGATGCTGGGAACCTATGACTTTTCTTTCAATTGCAATCACTCCTTTTTTTTTGAAGGGAGAAAATATTTAGTACCTTTCCATCACTATTTCACAAATAACAATAAAAAGAAAAGACAGTGCTTGTAACATTTTAAAAAATAGGGCATCTTTGCAGATAACTGCTTGTCGGCTGCACCGGGGTGTGTGTCCTCCATGGTGATTACGGGTGATGACGGAGTCCAGTGCCTACAAATTCATCGCCGACGGATGAGTCTGTATGCGTCCCAGATCTCTGAGCTCAGATCACGGCTTCCTAACCAGTATCCCCCGGTCAGACATTCTGGCTTCACCCAAGCCTTTCCTGTTCCACCGCGGTCACCATCCAGATTGTAAAGGGAATTATTAAGACTTTTTGTCCAAAGGGTTCAAAGACTTTCAAATGTCTCTTTGACAACAGTTTGCTCATGTAACCCAGTTTCCGTGTGACTCAAGAACACAAGGACAAAAAGCCAAAGCACCAGATGCACAACAGCATTTTGCGGTATTTTTCGTCACGAGAAAAACCTCCGTCCTAAGAAAAATGGGAATGCGAACTCTCCTCAGTAACTTTTCTCACTTCTAATCACACCCCTCATCACGACCTATTACACCCACACAGTCATGTGCCACAGGCCAGGCTGCACACTGTCTTCTTCAACATTTCAAAGACTCGCAAGCTATTTTTAAAGCCAAAATGCAATCTAGGTTGTTAGTCTATAAAGCACTTTTTAAGGAAGAACAAAGTAAGATAGTGATTTTTATGCATGTGGGCAGTTAGCCAACTCACCAAAGGATTGAATGCAGCTGTCGATGAGATCGTCCAGGCTGGCTCCTTTGGCCAAATGTCCCAGAGACACCATCATTCGGAACTGGGTGATCTGGGCCAGGCTGGGGTGGGAGGGGAAGGGGCTGCTGGCTGGCTTCGCCTCTAGTTTTGCTTTAGGGGCACCTCTGCAGCCATGAGAAGGTTTCCTGGGGAAAGAGAGCCGCAGTGAGTGCAAGCAGAGCGGCCAGGGGACGGACAAACCGGCAGCTCCACGCTCCAAGGCAGATTACAGAGGAAAGGGGTAGAGATAAGACAATTAATCCTGGGAGTTGGGCAGATAGAAGATACACCCCTCCCACTTGGCAAATGCACCAAACGGACTGGTTGGCTGTTAAAGAGACATCTCCCAAGCAAATAACAAGGTGAGATTTCAGGGTTGCAACCAGGGCTTGTCCTCCTGGGGTTAGGATTGCTTTGGCCTGCTGTCTTCACGTCCTGAAGGGGAGAGGCAGGGGCAGGATCCCTCGGCAGTCCTCAGCTCCTAGCAATGATTTTTAATTTCAGCGTCAAGGCCACTGACTTGGGTCTTAAGAATGAGTTTCAGGTGGTCTCGTCGTTGGCTAAATTCATCTTGAACAACACCAGAGAGGTGCTGGTGGGCTCAGAATATCTTTAAGAACTTCGGGGAAAATGTCAAAGACTAAGGACCTGTGTGCAGGGGGTGAGAGGAAAAGCCAAAATGCAAAAGCCTTTCTCACACATCTTGGTGGGTTTTAAGATTCTGTTTTTCATTATTGATAATCCAGGTAATCATTATGAGTCATTTTTATCATTAAGCATCATCCCATCAAGTCCATACTTGGGTCCTTACCTATCGTGGGGTTGGGGGAGGGGCAGAGCTCATGGGAGTTTTATTTCAGAACTGAACCCAAACGAATAAACCTGTATGTGGCAAGTCCTATAGGCCACCTTTGTCCACTCTCACCTAGCTTTACCTATGGTCATGACCTCTCAGTACAAGTCAAGTTGTTTGCAAAATGATACATGAAGGTTAATTAAGCATTTTGTTTTCCCTCCCATTAAACAACATGAACATACACTCACACTTTTATTATCTTTGAAGGTTCACTAGTGATGGGTGTCATTACTGGTCACTTCTTTGAGCATATCGTTAACTCTCCTCTCCCTACTGAGCTCTGCTTATTTCGTAGCTTACAAAGAGGAGTGAAGAAAAAAGGGAAAAAGAAATACACCCCAGATCCATAACTTCAGCTGCCACTCACTGTATGTTTTGGTGCAGACATGATGGCATCAATTAATCAGTAAGTGCTTATTCCAGGGTGAGACACTGTGAGGGGTGAGAGAGGATGGTAGGACAGCCCATCTGTAAGCTGTAAAACATGCTCTTTACGTCCTTTGTTGTTGTATGAAGGTCATCTGTAAGTCCTTTAATACAAAAATCTAGTTGGAGAAACAGACCCAGACCATGAAAAAATAACTCTATCAATCCTAAACTTCCTGTGAGTATCAAGGGTATGAAGTGCAATGTTCCCAGAGAAGGGAGAACCAGCTGCAGGGAGGGTGTTGGGGAAAGTTTCGGACAAGATATAATTTCACCCAGAAGGGGCTGAACTAGTGCTGAGATCAAAATAAAGTGCTGGTGCACACATGGAATTTGGGAAACCAGCCTGGGAAAAGACTACTGAACCGCGGGGCCACGCAGTGCACAGCCAGCGTGTGGAGGGACACCCTGCCCTTCAAGGTGCATTTCAAAATAGCTCCAGGGTGCTGGGCTCTGTTCTGACCTAGGGTGGTCCCGATGAAACTGAATTAGTAACTGGCTATCAGGTAGCCCAAGGCAGTGATTTCTAAAAGATTAAGTGGGTGTTACAGGACTTCTGGCCATTATTGATTTTTACCCAGGGCCTACGATAGCCCCAGATCAGATCAGTATCTGAAAATGAGAGAAAACAATAATGGCCACCATGAATTGAGTACTTGTGACATGACAGGCACTGTGCTGGGGATTTACAGGGTCTTTAAAGCTTAAACCCCAGAAAGATTTTCTCTATTCCATGATGATGAAACAGAGTCTAAAAGAGGCTACATGACATAGCCAAGTACAAGTCACATGTGGTAGATCTGGGATTTGTACTGTGCGCCTCTCTGGCTCTATTTGCTTAATATTTACTGTGCCTGGAACCGTGCACCTTGCACCACATCAGAATTAGCCAGAGAGGCAGAAAAGGTCAATTCAACTTACGACGAAAGTAACGTCTGGCCAGTGTGGCTCAGTGGTTGAGCATTGACCCATGCATCAAGAGGTTGCTGGTTCGATTCCTGGTCAGGGCACATGCCCAGGTGGTGGGCCTGACCCCCAGTGGGGGGCATGCAGGAGGCAGCCAATCGATGTTCTCTCTCATCGATGTTTCTATCTCTCTCTCCATTTCACTTCCTCTCTCTCTAAAATCAATAAAGGAAAAAAAAAAAAAGACAAAAGTAACATTCTCCTAAAGCAGAGCTGATAACATAAAGGCTGAATCTGGGGCCTTACTCCTGCATATCCTGGGAAGCGTCCTCAGACCCCCGGCTGCATGGACTCTTCAGAGTCATCTTCCACACCCTTCACCTAGTGGTGTGGAGGTCCAGGTTCAGAGGGGCAGTGGGATGGGCGGCCAGTACAGAGATAGGTGGAAGCCAGTCTCCTGTGCCCATGTCTTGCTCCCCACCTGGGCTCCCTCCTTCTAGGAAGCACTGACAATTTGTAAACCTGGGGCTGGGTGTCAGGTGTTGGCATTCATCAGCTTTCTGCCTTAGCGGCTGCCTTTTTACCATTAAGATCTCCACCCAAAATAGAGTTGGGAAAGAGAAAAATCCTTCTTAGTACAAGTCTCTTTTTCTCTTGGGTTTTCCACGGTACCTCTCCCTGGCTCCTGGAGAAGAGGCACCTGCAACCAGAGGCTGAGCCTCCGCAGACAGTTCTTCCCTCTGGGCCAGGAGGTGTCTGCCTTGGCCTCTCAGCTGGGCACACAAGGAAAATTCCACTTTCTCTCTCAGTCGGTGGCACTGACCACTGAAGACTCTTCAAACTGCCCTGGTTCTAAATCTAGTAATGTCAGCAGTAGTGGAAACCATTTGGGCTCATAAGGTGAGAAGCTTTTAACAGAACTAGAAGGGACTGGGGTAGATTCAAGTAGAAAGAAAGAAACTGAAGGGAGTATTTGTGGGTGGTGGTGGTGGTTATGTGTGTGTGTGTGTATGTGTGTGTGTGTGGAGGGAGGGAGGGGGAGGGAGGGGGGAGGGAGGGGGGGGAGAGGGGGAGGGAGAGGGGGGAGGGAGGGGGAGGAGGGAGAGGGGGGAGGGAGAGAGATGCAAACTGGGAACTATGGCACCCAGAGAGAGTTGAGGGTTGGAGCATGAGGAACCAGGGAGAAACTACTAGAACCCAAATTTCAACCTGAGAGGTCTAGGAAGATGGGGGTTATCTGAACCATAACCTTGGGAGCTCAGCCCTTCTGCTGTGCATTTTGACTGGCTGTTTTGTGACAAACCTTCAAAAATGGTTTCTTCTGGTGAAAAGGCTATAGATGAGGATTTATAAAATTCTTCATTATAGACAGGTCTTGAAAGTGTTTTAATCCACAGAACAAAGAGCCCCTAGTCTTCAAAGGCATTTCTTTAAAGGATGGTAGCCAATTCCCTTGAGAATTAAAAACAAACCACACACACACACACACCCCATACACAAAAACCTGAGAGAAACAAATTAATTTGAAGGTGTTTTATGAGGCTAAAATTGGCTAAGGCCCCATTAAATCTGCTGAGGGAGACTCAAAACTTGGAACTGGTTCAAGTGAAATCTCTGGACACAGGTAACCTCCATGAGGTCACAACAGAAGGGTCAACTTTTCAGGGAAACTTCCATGGCTTTCTTTGCAGTGGAAGGTGGCTTTTATTGGCTTCTAGTGAGGATTCCTTCCAGTCCTGTCCATTCCCCATCCCCATAATGACTCAATTGAACCTACTGAGGCCCCTCCCCTCAATCCACTGCAAGTTACAGTGCTGGACACTCGGGCATACAGGGCTGGGTGCTTGAAGGGTAAGAACCTTTAGCTCTGGAACGTCCATCAGAACAAAGCTTCCTCCTGCCTCTTCTGGGCATGCTTGTGCAGGCTGGCACGGCGCAGTCACACCCGAGTCCTTGTGGACGGAGGTGGTAAGTGCACAACGTGCCCAGCCCTATGCTGAGCCCAAGCTGCAGTCTAGGCAGTTGTCCGGTTCGGGTGGGCCCTTTGGGGACAAATTCAAAGTTGCTTGGCCCCTCCAGGCCTCTTTCTCCTGACAAGAGCTTTGTCACTCACTCTCACTCTTCATCTTCTCTCACTCCAAGACCCTCTCAAACCATCTAGCAGCACAGTGGGATGGAGGGGAATACAGGTTTCCACCCAGAAGCTACAGGGTTCGCTGACTTCTGCTTGTTCGCCACTAGCGCAGTTGCCCTTTCTGGGCCTCCCCGAGACCCGCAGGGCCGGCAGAGGCCGCCAGGTGGCGACGCCGGAGCCCCGCGCCCGCAGCAGGTGCAGGCGATCGGGAAAGTCCGCGAGTGGGAATCCCAGGTGTGTGGCAGCGAGGAGCTGCAGGAGGAGGTCGGTTCCCGCAACTCCGGAGCTCGCCGGGCGACCTCTGGCCGCGCGGACCACACCACCCAGCCCCCGTCCCCACGTCCCCGGGGCGACGCGCTGGGCACTGCAGGCGCGTCCTTCTGTTGCGCGTGTGTCCCCCGCCCGCGTGGGACTTCAGCTGAGACTCCAGCCCCACAGTGGCCAGCGACTTCCCGTACAGGAGGCGCCCGTGTTGTCCTCCCCACTTTCTACGCCCGAGAGGCCGCAGGAGGTTGCTCTCACCCCGACGCCCGCCCCGAGGAGGGAACCGGCGCGCCCGAGGGCTGGGGCCCCTACTCACCGCGGAGCCTCTCTCGCCTTGCCCAGGGTGCCCATGGCCGCGGCCGCGCTCGTCGAGCCGCTTCACCTAGCGCGGCGGGACGGGCTCGGCGGGGCGCATCGCGACGCCGCCGCCGCCAGCGCGGCCCTCCGCCCCGGGGCTCTCCGCCCGGGCCGCCCACCCGCCGCTCCGGAGCCGGGCGAGCCCGCCCGACGCGCACCCGCAGGCACAAACTTTGTGCGCGCGCGCCCTCTCGCCTTTCACCGCGCGCGCTCACTCGCCGGCACGAACCACCTGACGCCGCTGATGCTATCGGCGTAGGAAATGTGTGGCGCTCTACAGCTCTTTGCTGAAACCTGCCCCCAGTACCGGGTAGTGCCCGGAGGCCGGCGCCCGTCCCAGTTCTCGCCTTTTGCCCCGGCCGTTTACCTCTCCCTGACCGAGGGTGCGGTCAGAAGGGGAGCTGGAGGGCTGGGGAGGCTCCGGGTGCATCGGATCCCACCAAACCCGCCCCTGGACAGCAGGTGTGCGCCCAAGGGGACTGGCTGCGCCCAGCGACTCTCGGGGGAAACACTCCCCTCCTCCCCGGCCCCCTGCCTTTTTGCATTTCAGCCCTGGCTCCTGAGCACCCCTTGCGCCCTCGCAGGCCTCTTTTGTATACATCAGAGCTCAGGGCCGGGCCGGGGTAAGGAACTACTATAACAACGTTGTTGATTTGCCGTAGCCTGCACCTCTGGGTGTCTTCTTGGTAGCAATTGTCAAGACTGGGCTGGAGCTATGTGCACTGTGCCGTGCAAGAGGCGGCGGGTGTGGAGGTGCGCTTTGGGGGCGTGATGCATATGTGGTGGGAGGCAGCTGCCTGGTATCTGTAGATGTAAGAGATGCGGAGAGAGGGGGACGGGGTGGGGATGGGTGGAGAGAAGTTTGTGACAGCAGACCTGGCCAGGAATGGCGGCCTACCCCTGCTTGCAAGTGATGAGAACAGCTAATGTTGACTGAGTGCGTTTTACTAAGTGCCTTCTATGAGTTGCCTAATTTAATCCATCTCCCCCAAATACCAAGAGATCCCTATTTTAAAGATGAGAAAATAAGGCTTAGAGAATAATATGCCTTCCATTACACAACTAGTAAACAGCAGGGAGAACTATGACTGGGATGAGATCTGACTCCCTGTAATCACTCTTGGACTGTCCTGATCACACACCATTATTGTCACATGCCATAACTCCAGCCACAGTAAGAGCCCAGCCATGATGTTTGACCACAAAGCCTCCTTCTGCAACTTCATTTATACATTGCCTTATATTTATATGCCATCTTGTCCTAAAAAAAAAAGAAGAAGAATTCAAGATAGCTTACGTACATAATCTACAAAAGGAGTATGTGAAATGTACAGTGAAAAATATGGTAAATTAAATGGAGCCAAACACGAACATCGTTTTCAAAAACTACACCTTATAGAGTCCATTACATTTGCTACAAGTGGGACAAAAACGTGTCTCCTGGATTTCTAACAGTCAAATTCAAAAGGGAAGACTGACCTAAAATTCAATTCCTGTTACATGCAAGACAAAAATATATAAAGAAAAGAAAGAAAATCGTTCAAGAGAAGATCAATTCTTCTTGATACTGAGACCAGAAAGAAATTTCTCTAAGGAATCCCCATGAACTTTGGGCAATAGGAAGAACCAAGTCCTGAGTCACAGCATATATAAAGAAGGGGCATGGGAATGTTTAATAAATATTAAATAATAATGCTCTTCCAGAATTACACTGTATGCCTGTATGCCAAATGGATAAACATATATTTCTGTAAATACATAACAATATGTAAATATGTGTATATGTAAATAGGCTATTTGGTGAATACACACAATACTAAGCACATATGTAAGCAGTTGCACATACCTATCCATCGGCAGTCTTATTCAAGAAATAAGCCTTGCTGAGTTTTGTAAAGAAAGCAAGCTCTGGCCTGGAAGCTTCCTTCTCCCGGCTTCTGAGAGCTCTGCACTCCACTTGCACCCGAGTCTGTTTCTCCGCCCACCTGAGTTCTTTGATGAGGCTTTCTGGCTGCTGCTGCTCCTTGAGCAGGTTGTCTTTTCCAGACATCTAAACAATTAGAAGCTAGCTCCATATCTTTCCTCATCTTTGCCATGTGGTTACTCCCTGTGGTGTTGTCTGAGGTGCCTCTGACCTCAAGAACAATGTTTTTCTTTTCTCTCGTTCTCTCCTCTTATCCTCTCTTCTGCTTCTCTAACCTCTTGATGGGCAGTAGTAAATGTCTTTGTAGCCGTTGAGAAAGGTTGGGGACCAACCTCTGCCTGCCCCTTGGGGAAGGACATTCAATGGGGCTCTCTCTGTCATTTCTTTTCAATCAGACGTTCATAACTGATGTTCATGGACTTTTATTTGGCTTTTTGGTGGGTGTTCTGAAGCCTCTGAGACTAAAACACCTGTTTTCATCAGATGTTCTAAATGATCCATTACTCACATCAGGTGTTTTTATTTTCTTCCACAACTTCAACAGGACCCATGTGACTCTAATGTTTGAATGTACCACCTCGATACCTAACATCCACATCCACATTTCCAACTGGTCCCCTCATTTAATTATCCCGCAGTACTTCCTCTCCATCTTCACAGCCACATGCTGGTCACGGCCGCCATCATCTCAGAATCTGGGCATGTGTACTAGCTTCATAACTGGCCTCCCGAGGAACAGAACCTCCTCTTCTCTGATCCCTTTTTTCATGTTGCTTTTAGATACACATGATCATGTCATGTCTCTGCTTCCAAACTGCCAAGGAATCCCCAGTTGCCGACAGAATAAAGTGCAAACTTGTTAACATTGTGCATCTTCACGGCTGAGTCTTACCTGTCCGGTCTGGCCTCCAGTCAAGCCCTCCAGGCACCTGAGCTCTTAGGTTGCACCTTGGTCGCTCCTGGTAATTGCTGTGTCTTGGGCCCCCCCAAGCCTTGGTGTTTTTGCTTGTGTACTTCCTTCTGCCCACCATCTCTTTTCATCTGGTAAACACACAAAGGCACAGTTATACCAAACACTTGTCAAACTGGCAAGTCACCCTACACGGCACACAAGGATTGCCTCCCCGGTGCAGAGGTGTACAGACTCACCTCTCACAATCTGCCTGATGACTATTGCACTTTGAGAGCCTATTGGCTACCACAGCTTCCACTCTGTTGTCTACCATGTATTCTTTCATATATTCACCGGTGCCTACTTGGTGTCAGATGCTGTCCTTGTCATTGAGAATCTGATAGAGGACAAGATAGATAAGATCCTTGTTCACAAGAACTTACATATCTAACAAGCAGACAGTAACCAAGTCAACAAATAAACAAACACACCATAGTTTTACACTCTGATTTCTGGGAGCCACCACTTCAGAGTCGGGTTACTCCTGCCCTATGGGGACACTATGACATATTCCAGTTGGGGCCCCCATATGGATCTGTGAGAACAAAGCTGCCACATCGAGGGGCACAGAGCTCCAGGGGAGAGTAGAGAGAGATGAAGAAGGACAGGAGGGAAGGGGCATGGCCCCATCCTTGACTCTCCTGCTGAGTGCTGCTCCTATTTCTGAGACAGACAGAAGTGGCCTCATTATTTTGGGACTGGCTGTCCCACCTAGCCTCACATTGAAAACTGAGTTCCTGCTGCTGCTCACCTTGGACCAACGCTAGAGGAACTTCCTATATGAGAAGCGACTCCGTTTGCTCCATACCTGCAGGTTGTGGGCACGAGGTTGGTGCCTGCTTGTTTCTTTGTCCTTGGCATCTTCTCATGGGCGCAGCAGCAGGCCACTCTGGGTCTCTCCAGCTATGGGCCAGTCGTTCTGGGAAGTGTCTGTCTCCTTGAGGTATGCCCAGGATTCTCCAAAGGGCTTTTATGATTGTCCTTAAAATTACATTTTAAGAGAGGTCATCCTATACAGAGGCCCTCACCGTGCATATCCATTCTTGTTTCCAGCTGCGTTGAAGGACGCTGCCTGTCTCGTGAAGTCCCTGCCAGAGTCCCACCACGGAGCCCATATTTTCAGTTAGATTGGCCTCAAATGTGATCAAATTCGATTTTGGATAAAATTTTTTAGGATGCTAACACAACAAACAGAAATACATGTTGTCTCATGGCTTTTACTCCTAGTAGGAGGGGGTCCCTGGAAGGCTTGAAGAGCTGAGGTGTAAAATCTCACTTCTGCTCTATAGGGTCGCTCGGCTCGGCTGCTGCACCCCAAAGTGGCTCACGGGTAGTAAGGGCAGAAGGCTCGGGGTGGAAGCGCCTTGATAATTTCCACATGGGCGGGTCTGCCAGGTTGGTGGCTTTCAGATTGTTTCGGACATTGCTCCATGGTAAGAACAGTCAACTCACACTTTACACTCTGACTCAAGATGTACATTTATCCTGCTTACTACATGTGGTCCACTCTGACCCTACCAAGTCTTTTTAAATTTTATTTAATGACATTAAACAATAAATGCTGGTCAGGATCCACTGAAATGATCCATTACTGGGTTGGGATCATAGTTGATAAAATACAGCTCTAGGTCTACCTTTCATGATAACAATAGATCTCCATAGTTACCTCAGGAAATGGGAACCAGGTGGTATTGAGTAGGGGAACATTTTACTTTTCATTGTTTCCCCTTTTGTAATTTTAATTTTGTGTTATGTGCATGCAATTATTCAATAAATAAATCCTAGTTTGAATCATTACAGCAGCAAACTTTCTACTTTCTGATTCTGATCTGAAAGGCTTTACAAAACCAGAGGCTGGAGCAGGCAAAAGTGAGCTGCTGGTGAATTTGCTTTGTTCAAGTTTATAGAAAATATGAAACAAGCCCTGGTTGTGTGGCTCAGTTGGTTCGAGCGTTGTTCTTCACACCAGAAGGTTTTGGGTTCAGTTCCCGGTCAGGGCACATGCCCAAGTTGTGAGTTCGGCAACTGATTAATGTTTCTCTCCCACATCAATGTTCTCTCTCCCTCTCTCTTTCTCTCTCTCTCAAGACATATCCTCAAGCGAGAATTAAAAAAATAAAATAAAATAAAACCTTAAAAAATATCAAACGGTTGTTTTTCACAAACACTTGGGAGGCAGAATGGCACAGTGGTCGAATGCTCTGCAGTTAGATTGCTTTTGAATTTCAGCCCTAGTGCTTCCTAGTAATGTAGCCTAGAGCGAGCTAACTCCTTTAAGCCTGTTTCTATGTCTGTAAAAACGGGTCCTA